TTAATTTATTCTATTAAATAAATACTACAAATATTTTAAAATAATCAATACAAATTTTGTTTTAAATGAACTTTCTACAAACTGAATTATAAAATATGTGCATATAATATCTAAATACTTGTCTATAGTATTTGGATTTAACACATTAATATTATAATGTAATATAATTTATAATTGTATTCACATCTGTCGGTATAGATTTTAAATATTTACATACACTTACTTATACATCATTATATGCTTAGGTGTAGATATTTGCCATTCAATTCCTCGTAACACATGGGATATCTCCATAAAATGGTCATCAACAACATTTGCAAAATGATAAGTCGGATAACCATCTGATTTTATAATAATTGGATCTCCTTCAGATTGTACAATATCATGTGTTATTTCACCATATATCATATCATTAAAATATTCTGGTGTAGATGATAACTACAAAGATTACAAAAAGCATTCTTCCTAAGATACAACTTATTAAAGTAATATTATTTCCTATTATTTTTGTGATACCTTAAATCTGATACAATATGGAAGTCCTTTATCGAGTTTTTCTTTTACTTTATCACTACTCAAATGCCGACATTTGTTATCATATTTAGGCACCTGTCCACACTTCAAAGCGATTCTTCGCAATAACTGCAGTCTGCTTTCTGTGCAGAAACAGTAATATGCAGATTGATTACTTAAAAGTTTAAGTACTTGTTCTCTGTAATTTAATCATTAGTAGTACATTAAGATCTTCATTCAGAAAAAAATTTAATTTTAATATAATTTATTATTTTAATGGTATTCTGTATTTAATTATCATACAATATGCATTTTGATAATCAGTTTTATTATCATTTCATCTAATATTATACAAAATGTTTTTAATTTATATTAAAAATATTTACAGAGATATTGTAGTAAATACAATTAAAATAAATAATATATAAATAATGTTCTATAATAAAAATACTATTATAATAAAACATTTTATTGAGCAACTGAAAAGTGTAATTTATTATATTTATTTCATATTACATATTTCAACTATTTACATAACAGTATACTGTCTTAAAATCAGATTACTATCCTTATAATATTGTTACTATTATATAAAACATATCAAATATGGAATTATTGAACTCCTTTAATTATTTCTTAATTTTCTTATCACACTTGCAAATATTTGTATATACATTGCATTATTACATATTGTATACATATATATTGTAATATTATTGACATCAATACTGTGTACTTTATTTACAAAAATGAAAGACTGAATAATATCTAATTTCAAATTTTAAGTTTTTTATAAATCTGAACTCATATAATACTAAAAAACCACATTTCATTTTACTTAAGGGAAAACGCTGATCTATTATAATTGTCAAAAGATTGATTTTTTTCGAAAAGGAGAATTTCAAAATTCCAAAAATTACTGAAGTTATAAATTTTTAAGTAGTAGTTACTACATGGATTTTATCTTCTTCCAAAGAAGTCCCACTGTTCAAGGAGAAATTTGTCGAAATCTACTATAAAAAGTATCGAGGACATTCTCAATATTCACATTAACTAAAAAGTTACACAACTATTTATATCCTGAAAAGATTTATAACAAAACATTAAAGAACCACAAATTGCCATCTTGTTCAATTTGTCATAGGAAAAAATCTAAGGAAAAACATTTATCTATTCTCTTAAACTAGAATCTCTCCTTAAAATATAATAATTTATATTTAATACATTTTAATGACCGTTAAAAGCTATCTATATCAGAAAGACATTACTAACAAAATTTTTACTTTACTTTTATATATTTAAAAATTGATCATGCGAATTATTTTATTACTTTACATAATTCTACTAATTTAATTAAAGACTATTTTTATTATGAATAAGAATTTCAATTATAAAAATGTCATTATACATTACTACTTAAACAAGAAAGTTAATCGTACTTGTATATGTCAAGTCGTTTTGACTGAATATATGGTCCAGTAGGTCCTCCTCTTATAGGGCTCTCATCAGCTATAATTCCACACCATAACAAATCATTTTGAATCTTTTCCATTGCTCCTGGAATACATCTACTTTGATCTGTGTCCTCAATTCGTAATATAAATGCACCATTATTAGCTCGTGCAAATAAATAATTATATAATGCAGTTCGTAAACCTCCTAAGTGTAATAAACCTGTGACATTAAATGAGATTAATATTGTTTATATGAAAAAAATTGAAATTTGATATTTACATGGTAACAATAACAAAATAACAATATCAATTTTGTATAAAGGTTCATATTCAAAGGAATTAACCTCGATACATACCAGTTGGACTGGGTGCAAACCTAACTCTTACTTGCTCCTTTTTGAAAAAACGTTTTTGTAAAACTTGAACACTTAATGTACGATATATATTGCGATGCATCTTATTCCAAAAGTAAATTACATTACAGTCATTTAAATTTCATTGAATGCTGATAATGTCTTATATTAAATTATGATTGCATATAGTACAGTTTACTACGTATTAAAGTATAACACTTTAATTCTTTAATTCACTAATTTCAGATATTCTTGTAATAGAAGTGAATAGGTTATCAAAAACATGTACCATACATAATTCGTTCACGTTGCTTCTGCACAACTTTCACACATGATATACAGGGTGTCTCATTTAAGAATGAGTGCCCAAATATCTTTTATAATTATTGCGAGGATACAAAACCATTTTATATATAAGTAATTTAAATAGCTTTAAACGATCAATATTTAGGTTTTTTCAAAAATCATTTTTTCAAAATATTCGAGAACAGCGATATTTCTTTTACAAATAACTACTCATTTTTTTTATTCCATCGTGTAATTCATGAAAGAATACGTTTTGATTTGGTTGTGATTGGATCTTTAAATAACTTTGGACTCGAAATTCACTAAAACTACGTATAAAATGTTTTTTACATCCTCACAATTAAAAAAGTTCTTAGAGAAGTTACACTTAAATAGAATACCCTGTATAGTTACGGAACATATGATACAATGTTCGACTTGTAACTGAGTACTCTAGCAACCCCTTTACTGTCTGTAGTAATAACTAGTTAATAGTGAATAGTTAATAATTAATAATAACTAGTATAAACCAACAGGTTGAAAATATAATAGCTTTTACTACTCTCAAACACTTTATTGAACCTTTCGAGTTTCGTGAAGTTACAATAGGAATACTGTAGTTCGAATGATATCCTTACCTTTAATAGTACATTAAAAAATTAATACTAATTTAAAGGAAAAATATGAATAATTGAAAATTATTCGAAGTTATTGAAAAATAATGATTAAATAATACTTTTATATGCATAAGTCTTGTTCATATTAATATAAATCATATTCTAATAAAAGTGTAAAATCCTTACTATAATAGTTAAATAGAAGTTAT